CGCTCCTTGGGATGGGTGCGAAGAGGAGTGCCTTTCGCTGGGAGATCACAGAGAAATGCGTTTAAAATATCGGAGCGGTAGGACCGAGCCCGATGTTTTGGGGGGGGGGGGAAAACTTAAGTATGACCGAGATCCGGTGTGTTGGCACAGATGTTGAGTATGCGGTAGGGGCAGTTGGTGTACACCAGATGCAATGGGAAAGGAAAGTCATAGCCTCGTTCCGCGTCCGAAGGAAGAGAAAAGCTATTCCCAAATTGAAAAGGAAGCTCTTGGGATAGTGTATGGAGTGGCAAAATTCACCCAGTTCCTGTATGGTCGCAAGTTCACATTACTAACGGATCACCAACCGTTAGTAAAGATTTTTGGGCCTAAAAACGGATATCCCCACGATCGCGGCGAAGCGACTACATCGTTGGAGCCTTCGTCTGATGATTATCGTGATAGTGGGTTGGTATAGAAAACAGCCAAATTTCGGAAATGCGAGCGGGACTGATCCGGGCACCAGACCTGGAGAGATGCCCAGCGCCAATCTGGTAATTATGAATGTGAGGGGGGAAGAAATGACACGGAGACGTGGAGGCCATGATATTAATAAGAGCAAGGCGGCGACGCGGCAGGAGGACGAGACTTTGCGGAAGCTAACATACATTGTAGAGGTGACCGCAAATGTTATAGAAGGAGTTGAAGCCTTATGTGAGAGCGCAAACGGAGCTAATATATATAGCGTTGCATTAATGTGGGGCTACGTAGTAATATACCAAGAATGTCGCAGGGTGGCATGAATATCCTGCATCCAGTTCTTTGGGAGGCACAGTGATAGTGCGGCAGGGGTAAAGTCTGGTATCAAATGGACAGTGATATTACAGACAATGGCGCGAGCCTGTGGCCTTGCGTACTTTGAGATGAGGTTATGTGGACACCGTCACATCCGTGGGAAGTGCCAGTCAAACTCTGGCAAAGATTGCATATGGAGTTTGCCGAAACAACGTATGGGAGGAAGTGGCTGGTGGTAGTAGACGCAAAGTTGAAAATGAGATGAAATCAACGACGGCAGCGAGGACCTTGGAAAAGTTAAAAGATATTTTCAGCATACATGGACTACCAGAGCAAATTGTGGTCGATAATGGACCACAATTCGTAGCTAAAGAGTTCCAGGATTACTGTCGGAGGAGGAATGTCAAATTGATATGCATTCCACCTTATCACCACAATTCAAATGGTGAAGCCGAACGTTTCGTTCAAGCCTTCAAGAAGGGTGTATAACGGAAACGGGCAAGAGTGTTGTTGGTGCATGATAGGTAGAGATTTGTTGTTGAATACGGGTAATCACAGCAGCTCGGGTAATCTTGGCGAATGACTGTGGTCGGTATTAAGAAGAACTCTCGACCTCCTGAAGACGCCAAAAAAAAACCCGCAGTGACCCCTCACATGCAGAAAATGGAGGAAACTATGAAAAAAAGGCAAAAATTAGAAAATATGAAGTAGGACAGCAAGCATCTCTGCGCAATTATCAGAACGACATGAGAAAAGGGTCCAGGTGTGTCTCGAGATGGTGAGGTCAAATGTCTACGGTGGCATTATGCCGGAGGGTAGCTATCGACCAGGGTTGAAAAAAGAGTTACTTTTGGAGGAAGAGGGTTCCCTCGGATGACCCTAAGGAGGGGGTGCAAAGCGACAACGGGCGACGATCCGTAAAGCAAGGCGTAGCACGGGTGGGGCGGCGTTATGTCGTGCAAACGAAAAATGGCCGATAAATGAATGTTATTGCGGAGAATGGGTCGAAGTGGATGATAACTAGTACAGTACTCGCGTTTGATCGAAAATTCCCTGCGCAATAACGCGAATCTCCTCATTTCGGGGGGAATTCGTGTTGTAATTCGGTTCAATGTGAGCTTTCGCCGGAATCCGAAGTTTATATTTGATTCGCCTCCTACTTTATATGTGCTTGATGGGAAAGCTCCATATAGGATTGCGCCATGCACTCGATTTTCATCTCAAAAAGTAGTTGCTCGCATGTGATGTGTATATAATCCCGCTTATGCGGGCTAACCGCTACACAAGAGAAGGGCCTCAAAACTTACCCCAGAATGCGCCACGTACTCAATCTCATCCACTACATTGTGAGATTAGATGAATGTTATTTTCCGAATTCTTAGATCTTCATTTCGTTTTCAAGCGCTTACTGGCTTTACGTGTTCCCTCTGCTCTCAATATCCCATCCTCTGTATATCAAGTGGAATCTTTGAACAGTTCTCAGCAGGCATAGTGGGCCTATTATGTGACATTTTCCATTTTCAGAGGACATGTTTTGCAGAAAGCTGTGAAGATAGCGAACAATTTCCTTCACTGTCGTAGACTACGGTCACTTGTCTGTAAGGATTATATGGAAACCTTGGTCGCAGGTGAGCGTTTCTTCCGTGGTGTGACCCCAAACATCACCCCTTGTCATGCCTTTGCCCCCTATTACGTGACAAGTCCCATTTTTAGAGGAATGTTTTGTAGAAAGCTGTAAAGGAAGCGAAGAATTTCCTTCACTGTCGTAGACTATGGTCACTTGTCTGTAGGAATTATGTGGAAAACTCGGTCGCAAGTGAGCGTTCCTTCCGTGGTGTGGCCCCAAACATGCCTCCTCGTCATGCCCTTGTGGAAAGTTCAGATTTTTTGCATTTCCAGATGAACTCGCAGACCTGAAATGTGCCCCGTTAGCTTCCCCGTGAAAAATGCTATCGAATGATATGCATTACTTCCCCAGTTGAAACTTTGGTTTTTCACCGTTTTCAGCCTTCCCCTATTGCCGGATTGGGCACTATCCCACGATTGCCCCATCTTCAGTTCATTTTTCGTCGAAACTTTGTCTATTGGGGTAATTCGATGCCCTGATTACGAATATGACATTCATTTTTGATGCTGGTGTCATTTGGCGCCAATTTGGCGCCACGGCTGTTTTCACCAAATCTGCTGAAACTTCGTCATTTGGGGTTATTTGGGGTCCTGATTACGAAAACGACACCCGTTTTTGGCGCTGGCGCCATTTGGCGCCGTTTGGCGCCAATTTGGCGCCACGGCTGTTTCCACCAAATCCGCTGAAAACGTGTGTATAGGGGTTATTTGGGGTCCTGATCACGAATATAACATCCAGTCTTGACGCCGGCGCCATGTGGTGTCACAAACAACACTTCACAGTCAGAGCGTACTCTTAGGCACCTTTCTCAGAGCGCCGACTGTCAGACCGTGGAAAAGGTCATCGAATCGGAGACTTTCCCACGACAGGAAGGAGCCAGACCGTGGAAAACTGTGAGCTAAGCCAGAAGCATATTTCACGTTTTCACTGGAGATGCCTGTATGCGTTGGGCAGAGCAGCAATTCGACTGTAAGCTCTCCAGCTGTCACTGAGGATGGTAGTACCGGGCTCGATGTACTACTTCATGATGAGCCGCAGTAGAGTTGAAACGTCTTTCCTTCGGACCATCCGAAGGAGTCGAAGTGTCGCTAAAGAGTAGCAAGAGCCATCGTTATTCTCCGTTGTCGAAAACGTGAAACATGCTTCTGGCTCCTTCCTGTCGTGGGAAAGTCTCCGATTCGATGACCTTTTCCACGGTCTGACAGTCGGCGCTCTGAGAAAGGTGCCTAAGAGTACGCTCTGACTGTGAAGTGTTGTTTGTGACACCACATGGCGCCGGCGTCAAGACTGGATGTTATATTCGTGATCAGGACCCCAAATAACCCCTATACACACGTTTTCAGCGGATTTGGTGGAAACAGCCGTGGTAAAATGAATTGACGCCAAAATGAATGTCATATTCGTAATCAGGGCATCGAATTACCCCAATAGACAAAGTTTCGACGAAAAATGAAACTTTGAGATTTTGGGGCAGTAATCGTGGGATAGTGATCCGGCAATAGGGGAAGGCTGAAAACGGTGAAAAACCAAAGTTTCAACTGGGGAAGTAATGCATATCATTCGATAGCATTTTTCACGGGGAAGCTAACGGGGCACATTTCAGGTCTGCGAGAGTTCATCTGGAAATGCAAAAAATCTGAACTTTCCACAAGGGCATGACGAGGAGGCATGTTTGGGGCCACACCACGGAAGGAACGCTCACTTGCGACCGAGTTTTCCACATAATTCCTACAGACAAGTGACCATAGTCTACGACAGTGAAGGAAATTCTTCGCTTCCTTTACAGCTTTCTACAAAACATTCCTCTAAAAATGGGACTTGTCACGTAATAGGGGGCAAAGGCATGACAAGGGGTGATGTTTGGGGTCACACCACGGAAGAAACGCTCACCTGCGACCAAGGTTTCCATATAATCCTTACAGACAAGACCGTAGTCTACGACAGTGAAGGAAATTGTTCGCTATCTTCACAGCTTTCTGCAAAACATCTCCTCTGAAAATGGAAAATGTCACATAATAGGCCCACTATGCCTGCTGAGAACTGTTCAAAGATTCCACTTGATATACAGAGGATGGGATATTGAGAGCAGAGGGAACACGTAAAGCCAGTAAGCGCTTAAAAACGAAATGAAGATCTAAGAATTCGGAAAATAACATTCATCTAATCTCACAATGTAGTGGATGAGATTGAGTACGTGGCGCATTCTGGGGTAAGTTTTGAGGCCCTTCTCTGTGTGTAGCGGTCAGCCCGCATAAGCGGGATTATATACACATCACATGCGAGCAACTACTTTTTGAGATGAAAATCGAGTGCATGGCGCAATCCTATATGGAGCTTTTCCAAAGTATCAAAGCACATTCTTATAGTGTCCGACGAGCTGAATTCAAAGATATCTTCGGATTCTCGAAAGCTCAATTTTGAACCGAGTTATAACGAATTCACAAAATTAACGGCTCATTTTTCCTCACCGTCGAAGAAACTGGAGTATGGCTCTGCCGCCCGTTGTGACTATCGGTCAAAATGGATCAACGCCCCCAAGTGGTCTGGGGCTCACCGCAGACCAACCCTACCCGTCGTGGTTGTGCCCCCCCGGGCCCACCATGGCGACGACTCCAATGGCCGCCAGCCCGCCAGCCGTCATCGTCTTACAACAGCCTGTAAGTATTTTATGAGTGACAGGGCGGAGGCAGGAAATTGAGCGGTGTGTTTTTAGCAGGGAAGCGCCGGATCGCGCGCGGCCAAGAGTGAGCGCGCGCTTGGCGCGGCCGCGGATGGTGTCGTTGTGAAAGCTGGTGTAAACACCAGCCACGTTATCCGGCCAGAAGGACGAGGCCATGGTCTAATGACGTCAGGTTGTCGGAGCCGCGTAGAGCCCTAGGAGCGGAACGCTGGGATCCGAGACGAGAGGATTGGGGTGACGAGCCCCGCCCAAGAAGTGTGGAGCGAGGACGCCGTGGTACCTCTGCAGCCATTTGTCAAGCAGTGGAGGTGAATAAAAGAGGAAAGTACACAGTGTATGGTAGAAATGGAAACACCTCAGTGTTCTTTGATATGACTAATAAAGTTATGGTGCAATGGTGTACATGCAGAAGCATAGGTTGATTGGGAAAATATGAGTATAGACGCCGAGGGGGCGTCGCAGTGTTGTGATTAATTGAGTGACCAAGGCGGTCACTACGGGGGATGTTGTGGGGTAGGTCGGTTTAGGGTAGCAGTGCGGTTGAAATGGACGATGGAGATGGCGACGTGCGCAAGAGGAAGATGAAGAAGGATCCTAGAAGAATGATAAGAGCCGTATAAAAGAGGAAGTGATGAGCAATAAACGTTCATTCACCGTTGTCTCTATCGCCAATCAACCAAACAGGACGCGACATCAACCCTCTTCCGTTGTCTTCCACTATCGAGGATGGAAGTGAGTGTGCCTTATTCCGGAGCGCGCCTTTACACACCACTACTGGGCTGTCCAAGAAGCCATGTCTTTCTCGATGGGTGGCCGCTGTATCGTCGAATCTAGGCTAGAGTATTTATCGTAAAGATGTTGAAACTAACGGGATGATGTAGAGAATCATTGAAAACATGGGATCCTAGGGGTGAGGGGGAAATTCCCGTTGGAAGGAAAACGGATCTACTCATCGAACAAGCTAATAGCACTCAAACCGTTTTATAATTGAACTTTGTGTTGTTGCTTTGAGCTGCAGCTCACAATATGTAGGCGACTTCTTTGCCTTTGATCATATGTTCACTGCCTCTTCTACCGTTTCACTTAACAGTAGCTTGCTCAACAAATGTCACTTTGTCTATGAATTCTTCATTTTGTTTGCAGATACCT